CGTTGGCAAATAACAAGGAAAATCTATTGATAGAAAAACTTCAGATTACAAGTATTCCAGGGTCATTGCAACTCTTTGCCCTCACTATCTTCAAGCCGATATGCCCCATTGCCCAATATCGAAGTGATTCTGTAGGGTCTTTCCCAGTTTGGGCCAAGCTTGCCCTCTCTAGGATCCTTCTTGTTGCCGACGACTTTTCTTAAGACTAGGTTGCCGACTTGGAACTCCCTTGGATTGACCCTTTTATTATAAGTACTGGCAAGCTGCTGCTGGTAGGCTGCAAGCTGAATTGCAACTTTTTCCCTTATTTCTTCTAGTAGGTCCAGATCTCGGGCTAAGAGTATATCATTAGTCCCGTTCTCTACTCCCTGGGTTCTGATCCCGGGGATGCCGACTTCAAGCGGAATGACAGCTTCTATGCCATAGGTTATGGCAAATGGGAATTCCCCCGTTGATCTTCTCGGCGTAGTCCGATATGCCCAGAGCACACTTGGTAGTTCATCCATCCACTTTCCTTTTGCTACCTACATCCTCTTCTTTATCCCATCTAGGATAACCTTGTTGGATGCTTCTGCTTGTCCATTGCTTTGAGGAAAGCTTGGGGTTGAAAAGTAATTCTTGATCTTGAACTTTGCACAGAAGTTCTTGATCAGCTTGCGGTCAAATTGTGTTCCATTATTAGCAACTATTGCTCTCGGAATCCCAAATCTGGTGATGATGTTCCTCCATAAGAAGTTCTTCATGTCTACATCTCGGATCTTGGTTAGGGGCTCAACTTCTATCCACTTGGTGAAGTAATTTGTTGCTACTAGCAGGTACTTCCTTTGTCCAGTTGCTTGGGGCAGTTGCCCAACGAGATCTATGCCCCATTGGGCAAACGGCCAAGGACTGGATACTGGGTTAAGGTCTGCTACTGGCTGGTGTATCAGTGGTGCAAACCTTTGGCATTTTTCACACTTCTTGACATAAACTTCTGAGTGATTTTCCGATCACACTGCCCAACTCAGTATTCAGCTGGAAAGCACTGCAGAATAGATGACAACTGGCTGACCTGCAACAGAAAGAGAAGATTCCAGCGGTGGTTCGTCTACCCGGGGGCACTCCGACGATCAAGTCAGTATATCTCTCAAAGATAATCAATAGTGCTAAACTTACTGTTCAGATTATAAATAGCATACCTTAGACCCATCGGGGGTGCCTCTCTTTTATAATTAACTCAATCCTTGTCCTACTAGAAGCCTAGCTTCAATGGACTCTTGTTCAGTGCTTATCCTGAACTCTCCAAGTGATAAAGATAAACTTCCTAAGAGTGTTACTCTTATCCATGCTAAAGTCTTTCTTTATTCTTGGACTCTCGTCACTTATCCGCTTATCTCGGATTCCGATATCTTCGGAGATAACCTCGGCCTTGCCGAGATCACCTCGGCATCATAACCTGGACACGTGGCACCTCGGCTGACACGTCGGCGTCACCTTGGCCACATCTTAGGACTCAGAAAATATTTCCCCACAAGAAGTGAAGATGTATATGATATAAACACTTCTAGAGTGTAATGTAGAGCGTATATGATAGACTTTTTCCCATAAAAAAAAATACACAATCACACTCTACTTGGTTTAGTTTTTTAAAACTATTTTTGAGTTTTTTGTTTTTCTGTTTTTATTTCATATTTTATTCCAAAAAAATACATTTTAGACTTAACTAGTCTAAATACACTTTAAAAAGTAAAATATTCTAGAAAAAAAAATTGTAGGAAAATGTACTCTTTTTTTAATCTTTAATGATCCTTTTTTTTTCAGATATTTTAAAGAATAATTTTACTTTTAAGTGTATATAGCTTAGATGGATCTTAAAAGTTTTTTTTTTTTTTTAAAAAAAAGACTAAAATTATTTTTTTTGAAAAAATTAAAATGAAAAACATAAAAATAATATTTTGGTTTCAAAGGCAAACAAAATAATATTATGCAACCTTTTTTTCATCAATATTTAAGGGTAAATTATAGTGACATTCCACCAATAATGAATAAAATACAATTAATTTTGTAATTTTCACATAATTACACATTATTTCTGTGCAATATAATTTTTTGCAAAAATTAGTGAAACATCCCTCTCCAATTTTGTATTGTAAGAGAAGTTCAAGATGTTTTTTGTATTAGTTAAGGTCCCTTAACATTTTGACAGAGAAAATTTGACTCAGAGAAATTTTGCCAGACTCAAAGAAATTTCGGCACTAACTCAGAAAATTATCGAAATTTCTCTGGTATGATCATAGAGAAATTTCTCTATAAAATTGAAATTTCTCTGAGTTTGGACAAAATTTCTCTAAATCAGGTAAAATTTTTCTGAATTAAATTTTCTCTGTAGAAATGTTGAAAGACTTTAACTACTATGAAAATATTATATATATTTTATCTTATAAAATCTTAATATCAGTGATCTTAAACAAAATTTTCCTAAATTTTTAAAACACTTTGGTCTTACACTTTAGTCAAGGAAATGGATAATGATGATGTCATTAATTTTAAACCAGATGCTTATTTTACCCTTCATTATCATTTATGTCCAAACATATCTTGCATCCAAACAATTATTTTATATTTGATTAATACACGTAATTGATAGAATGAAGAGAGTTATTTGACAAATTCATTATGGAAAAGGGTGGTGGTTGTGTCATTTGATATCGGTATATATTTAAATTTAAAATATTTAATATGATAATTTTATCATATTTCATTAATATCATTAGAATTATTATTATTATAGATTAAGTCAATATAGTTTCATTAAAATTGTGAGGTTTGTGTAATTTTTTTTTAAAATAATGCTATATGTACCAATTGATATATTAACTAGTGTATCAATTGATAATGTGGTATAATTTAACAGGTTTTTAGAATTTGTAATGTGATTAATGAGTGAGATCAATAATAATGTCGTAACTAGTATTAGTACACTAGTTAGTATATTAATTGGTGCATGTAGCACCATCAGGTATGAATAATGCTATATGTACTAATTAATATACATAGCCTCCGTTTGGGAAGTGGGTTGACTTTTTGACTTTTTGGCTTTTTTGGCTTCTTTAGCCTGGGACTAAAAAGCCTGGTTTGGAAAGGGCTTTTTGGCTTTTTGGGCTTTTTGGCTTTTTGGGCTTTTTGGCTTTTTGGTGAGGTGTCATTTTTGGGCTTTTTGGCTTTTTGGGCTTTTTGGCTTTTTGGGCTTTTTGGCTTTTTGGGCTTTTTGGCTTTTTGGGCTTTTTGGCTTTTTGGGCTTTTTGGCTTTTTGGGCTTTTTGGCTTTTTGGGCTTTTTGGCTTTTTGGGCTTTTTGGCTTTTTGGGCTTTTTGGCTTTTTGGTTGTTTAAATTTATTTATTTATTTATTTTTGGATTTGGCATTTTTTTGTTATATTTTTTTAAAAAAAATTTTATGTTATCTTTCGATTTCACGTATTTTTCTATTTTTTTTTTTTTAGGGTTTGGATTTGTCTTTTTTTTTTGTGTTTATTTTCTTTTTCTTTTTTTTTATTTTGGGTGTCGATCTGCCGACTTTTGATTAATTTGTTAATTTTTTTTAATTTTTTTTTTGGAATTGAATTTGCTATATTTTGATTCTTCTTTTTTATTTTAATTTTGTTATGTTGGGGTTTCGATTTTGCCTTTTTTGTTGTTTTGTTTTTTTGGAGGGGGGTTTCGCTTTGGCATTTTTTGCTTTACGTTTTTTTTTTTGACAATTTTTGTATGTTGTGTTTCGATCTCCCGAATTTTGCAACTCCAAATTTTGTCTTTTTTATTTTATGTTTTTTTTGTTGTAGTTTGGCGGATTTTGCGTTAACTTTTTTTTTTGTTTGACATTTTTTTATTTTGCGCTTGGATTTTTCATATTATGCTTAATTTTTTTTTCCTGTTACTTTTTTTCATTTTCGGTTTGGATTTGGGGTATTGTGCTTAAATTTTTCGATTTTTATTTGGGAATTTATGTTTTTGTGTTTTTAAATTTTTTTTTTTTTACTATAACTATGTTTTTTTTTAACTATGTTATTTTTTTGTCTTCCATTTTTATTTTTAACTAAGTCTTGTTTTTTTTAATTGGTATACAATAACTTTTTTTTAATATATTTATGTGTTTCATTTATTTGTAATTCACGTCGCACATTACAATTTGTGTATTAGTTTTCTTTTTAATTTGTTTTTATTTGTTTCACCTTCTTTTTATTTTTCCAAAAGCAAAATTCGTATGGATTGTTGTTTTTTTAAGTTAGGCACGTCAGCAACTGGAAGGGGTTACATTCCCCTGGCAACTCATACATATTATACATAATAATATATTTGAATACAGTCTGTTCCACGTGTGTCATTACGTGACGACCATACGAACATTATTTCGAGTACTATATATTTCCTAACATTCCGTTATTACGCATGTAACATAATTTGTCACGTATGTGAAGGCGGACCAATGCCATATGGGGGTCCTCATCTCCAACCATTAAACCATCCTCGTCATGTTCAACTTCTGGTATGGCATTTACTATTGTCATAGCCTCTTCCTCGTCACAGATTGGCTGAACAGTTGTTGGGTTACCTGTGTTTCGCCGTATATAATTATGTAATGCCATTGACGCACCTACTAACTGAACTTGCACATTTGCAAAGTCATACAGAGGCATGTCTCGAATAAACCCCCATTGATTTTTTCAGGCACCGAAGGTGCGTTCCGCCACACTGCGTAAGGACGAGTGCACTTTGTTAAATAACTCCCTTGGCGTGTTTGCCCTCCTGTTCCGTGCAGTACGTCGAAATTCTTGTTGGTGGTTACGGTGGCCTTTGAATGGTGCTAAGTAACCAATCCGGTTTGCATAGCCAGAATCGACAAGATAATATTTGCCTGCAGACATGACAACAATGTATGACACCTAAAATTTGTACAGAGAACCCCCTAAATCCACAAACATCGGCATGTGTTACCTTCGTCAGGATGTGGGAAGGGGACGTTGTCATTTGTTAGTATCTCGTTGAATATGCGAATCATGCATACTTCCTTCCCATCCGCAAGAAATGAATATGAAACACATGTCAAAATCGACAGCGGCCATTATATTTTGTGTGTGACAGTATTTCCTACCGAAATATGTTGCCGCATCTGGCCCCGTAACCCATGCACTGACATGTGTTCCGTCTATTGCGCCAATGCAGTCCTGTCAACATGGATCATATGTTTTGTTTCGTAACTTTGTAACAAGTGTTTCAAATTTGTCACGTGCAGTTAATAACAAAAAACATATATATTTTCTTCACTTATATGTCAATCATGTTTTGCTGAAGTACCTTGAACGGTAGGTATTTCCGTCTAGACCTCACGTATGGATGTATACGATGCTGACTGTATGTGGGCCGGCAATGGACAACAGTGAACTCTTTCATGGAATTTAATACGTTATGCACGTGCCTCGACACAATCTCCCCAGAATGTTGGAAGCGTTCCTGGATTTCCCGATTTTGCTTCCCTTTCAAGACATGGATAAACATCGCAACGCTTTCTTCAACAGCTAAGCCATGTGGACGTTGCGGGACTTGTAACCCAAAATCATTTACTAATGTCTCACACAATGCGGCAAAAACTTCCTTCGGCATGCAAACATTTTCCTCAAAGCGACCCATATGCCCCGCATATAGTTCGCATATCCATGTATTCCCGGTTAGTATAGAAGTGCGACACGACGTTTTATTCATGTGTTTCTCGTACCATTCTGTCGCCCACTGACATGCTTGTACAAATGTGCAATTCTGTTCTTGTTGCACCTGGACCGCCATTTGATTAAGCATTTCCATTATTTCATCATGGTTGCTTCCATCCCAGGGATTCATCGCGTTTTCGTTGATGCAAAACCTACAAAAGTGGCAGGCTTTCAATTAGTTGGCACGTGATTCATTGAGTTAAATTATATTGAATTTTGCAATTATACAATGCCGACATTGTTTTTAATGAAAGCAATGCTGTCACCAATGTCCTTTGGAAGGCATGATCATATGATTTGCAAAAAAAAAAAAA